GAGGATATTGCTATCCTCGAAAATAATTATATTTTTTTTTTCGGTGTAACCGTTAGAACACGCGCTTTGCTGAAAAACTCGAGCTAGGTGCTCGAAAAGCCCCGGGAGTGACGCGATCTCGGCGAAATCGTTTTGCCGAATGAATATTTAAGCGAATTAAGATTAACGGCTAGGCGCGGCACACAATTTGTAAGCGATCTTTCCGTGTAACCACAGGCTATACCAGCGCGCAGCGCGTTGTGTAACGCGGACGCACGTGCTGTCCCACGTGTCACAGATTACATAAATCACGGACGCGCACTCGCGAAAATCGGAAGAGCACTTTCATTAAGAAATCAGACGAGTCACGTCGGCACGTGACGGTTATATGGCTCACGTCACGATCGGAACAGCAACGCGGCGTTTTGTTTGCAATTACCGCGAAGACAGCGGGCGAGCGCGCGAAATTATCGAGCAGCGCTCATGGCTTCTTTGTCCCAGCATGCAATTCGATTTATTTCCGACACGTTCGCAAGCGTTTCCTTTACTTCCTCGGCTCATCTTCTCGAACTTCCTAGTGGTCTCCGCTTAAATCAGCCGTTCAATTGACCATCCGCGAATTTATTCACTTTAGTCGAAATTTTAATCCTACATTAAGTCTACTTAGTTCTACATTAACTCTTCAAGTGGAGAAAACGGAAATAATTTCCCATTTGTAACGTCAAAGGAGCACAATAGGAGACCTTTAAAGACTTAATGTAGAACTGAATAGACTTGATGTAGAACTAAAATTTTGATCTCGGATGTTCATTCAAAAGAGACCAGCCGAGTCGAAATTTCGGTCCTACATTAAGTCTATTTAGTTCTACATTAAGTCGTCAAGCGGAGAAAACAGAAATAACTTCCCACTTGTACACGGATAAAATATTGTAGCGAAAAGTACCACAAAATTTTGTAATATTGGAACATATCGGAATTATGATTGAAATTATGATATGCGTATTGTAATCTTTAGTGATGTGTACAATGAAGTACGTCATTAAAAATTACAATATACATCATAATTTCGGTCATAATTCCGATATAGTCCAATATTATAAAATTTAGTGGTAATTTTTATTACAATCTTTTTTCCATGCACTAATAGTTGCTTTCTTGGCGCTACAAAGAGAATTTAGATCTCCAGGAGGGAAATTTTAAATTCTATATTGAATCTTTAAATGAAGAAAATGGAAATAACTTCCTATTTATAGCATCGAAGGGAATACAATAGAAGATCTTTGAAAACTTCGTGTAGAATGAAAAATGTCCCCCCGGGAGGTCTAAGTTCCCTTTATGGTATCAAAGGAACATTATTAGTGCTACAAATAGGAAGTTATTTCCGTTTTCTTCTTGAGGGCTTAACGTACAACTAAATAAACTTAATGTGAAACTGAAATTTCATCTCGGGCGGGTCTCTCGTACTTCTTATTCGGCGCTTATCGCGCGCGCAATTCGAAAGTGATCGATCAATTTGAAAGAACGACGCGCACGACAGCACAGTCCAAGTGCCGTTATCTATGGCATTAGCAAATGCCATTGCTGCTACGTGCCTTATCAATAGATCCGCTGGCCCAATAGATACGCCGCTTCTAATCGTGCACCATGATTTTTAGTCCATTCTCGTTCACGTATGCCCGATAATACACAACCGATCGTTCGTGCCTGAGAACAAATACGCGGAGCGTGTTTGGCGGGTAGCGGAGAGCACTGCGTCTTCGCTTTGTTCGTCGATTCGCGCGTCGAAAGATATCGAGCCACGCGTGTCTCATTACGCCGAGAAGGCGCAATTTTTGCGTCTCAAGGCTCTAGGCGATGTACCGTTATACATTCGCCAGATTTCGTATACGCGGTGCGTCTCCCATCGGCCGCGATCGTCCAGCTATTTATATGTTTATCGAACGGCGGGAGGTCCCGGCCTGCTCTCGACGACGAAACGACTCGCGCCACCGATTCTTCCGCGAAGGGAAGAGATCCTCTCCTCTTTTACGATCGGTTTGATCGGGAGGGCGAGAATGCCAAGCAGGCGTTCGCTCGTACGTAGAAAGAACGAACGATCCGAGCGACGGATTGAGCGACGATGAGAGAATGTCTATGGCGGGTCGTTAATATTCCGATGACGGGCCTCGGTCCGTGTCCGGACTGCGGATCCGCGATGACGAAGGCCAGCATGCACGATCTCGGTGTATTTCCGTGTCGAGGCACATACATTATTTACAATTTCCTAGTATAATCGGTGTGCGAGAAGAAGATACTCGAGCGCAGTCCTCGATGACTTGGCATCTTGCCGAGCGCTACTGGAGCACCGGGTTGCTAGGATCTCGGGTCGCAGAGAATGAACCTCGTCGAGCTGACACGCTGTCGGCAGCGCGAGTTATTAGCCTTGCTACACGGTGGACAATTCCGTTGGAAACGATCCACTGAAATTTCGTGTTACTTTATAATAATGTGAATATGTTAAAAGGTGGTATACGTTAACATTTGCGTGACAATTGTGAATGTTAATTCGATATATTGTATTTGTGTACTTTTTAACACATTCCCTGAAGTTAAAGTGACACAAAAATGTCAGCGGACCGTTTTTAACACGAGAATTTTCACTGTGTACACAGTAAAAGGCATTTTGTATTTATGTTAAAATCGATTTTTGTTAAAATTTTTGTGTTCAATTTTTAACGCATCTGTCTGTTAATTTGATATATTGTGTTTATGTTATTTTAATATTTCGTGGTGAGTCCTATACCTAAGCGGAGCAAATAGTCACGATGACGTCAAAATGACGAGATAATGATCGAATCGTGATCGAAAAGTGAATTTTTATAGTCATTTTCTCGTCATTTTGACGTCATCTTGACATCATCGTGATTTTCTATTCTGCCTTCTGGGTAAGTTCAACGTGTGTAGGTATTAAAATAATACACTTTATATTTCAGTGTCGATGAACATATTAATTTTGTGTCAATTTTTGGTGTCGATTTTGGTGTCAATATTTGTATTATTTTTCAACATATTCATCTTGTGTTAAATTAATACAAAAATGTGTGCAGACCGTTTAGGAAATGTATTGAATTTAACACCAAATTTTTTACCATGTATTAAATTTTGAATATCATACACGTTTCTTATGAATGCACTTATCATGTGCAATAATATATCTTTTCTTATCATATGCAGCAACATATATTAACTTTTTATTAACGTAAAATGGGAAGATCTTCCGCATTGTCGACTATATGTTAAATTCGTTCGATACATCCTCTTTTTTCCTCGCTTCTTATGTATAGAATGATTTAGGAAAAAAATAGTAGAGGAGAATCAAAATATTTTGAGAGACAAATAGTATTCGGAAAGCGTACATGAAAACCGTTTAATACGGATGAATCGGCGAAAAGCGAGTTTGAGAGCGACTTTGATCATTCTCACGGGAGACAAACTGTATTTGCATCGTCGGCATGTCGGGTCTCGACTACACTCAGAATAACTTTTACGTAAATGTCGGACGATATATTTCTTTCCACTTAAATATGCATATACACAGACGTCAAAACGGTAATTATCGTTTGACATTGTAAATGACTTTTTTTTATAGTCTGTGCATAAAATAGCCGTATCACATGCAGTGACGTGTAACGCAGCCGCATAAGTCAGATACGCTCATGCTTTTTGTGTGCATTTCAAATAACGTGTTTTAAATATTACGTTTTATTCAACGTATTTAGAACAACGTATGAATTTTTAACCTGGTTATTTCTCGATTATTTTCTAACACCAAGCGGGATGATCTCCACGCGGTAAAAAATATCTTGTACTTGTGTTAAAATCGGTCCTTGATGAAATCTTGCGTTACATTTTTAACATAACCGTGTGTTAATTTAACATATTGTGTTTATGCTACCTCAATATTTTACGTCGAGTCGACATTCAAGATGTGGTGTACGTTGCAAATCTAAATGTGTTACTTTAGCTAAAGCTTTTCTCACATATTTTTTGCTGTTTTAAATCACGGCATTCAATACGATTGGACGTGCTAAATAATAATTTAACACGATCAAGCGTTTTAATAGCGTAACCTGAAACGGCAAGAAACATGTAAAAAGAGCTTCGGTGAAATGTGTCATTTTTAGCCGTTTGCGCGTGTAAAAATAACATACTCGGATTTGCGGTGTAAGTATTAAAATAACCACATTTTCTATTTCAGTGTTGGTTAATATATTAATTTTGCGTTAAATTTTCAATTACTTTCGTGTTACTTCTCGACATGTTCATCTTGCGTGAAAATAACGCGAAAATTCGCGTGTACCGTTCGGGACGTGTGAAACGTGTCAACGCACAATTTTTTCCTATGCGTTGTCACCGCGCCGACATGCCGAGTCGCTATTATTTTCGCGGCCGGCGGAACCGCGATAAACGCAACGCTCCCGATTTCCACGAGTACAAGAACATCAGATAAGACAAAGCGATGGCTTCGGCCGCGCGTTTACCTAAACAGATAATTACTTTGTTATCGCGCCGTGTAGCGCGCGAAGGTGTACCGATGAAGAACCGTTGCGCGCACAAACTTTCCAAGTGAAGGACGAGAAGGGAAGAATGAAAATTCACGCGAGCTAACGCGAGTTCGAAGACGGCTTTTTATAGAATCTACGACATCGCTAAGTAGCCGCTGACGAGATAACCCGATACAGTCGGCGGGCGTATCAGCAGATTTAGAGATAAACGTTTTCTCCGGAATATGACACTCGCGCGAATCGAAGGTGCGCGTATCCAAGGCGAACACACGCGCGCGATCCTGCATTACTCATGTGTGACACACGAGGATTACATAGTTCGAGGCGTCCTTTCCCCTCTCTTTGTTCCTTCCCTGAGCCGACGCCAGTTCGTTGTGCGCCTTTTCGCGAACTTGTTGCGTAGCCCATACGCTCGCTGCGAGTCGCGAGCCAGCGGAAGCGAAATTCGGTCCGTCGGAGAATAAAACGCTCACTTACCGCGGCGGTGTTGTCGCTGATCATGACATTGGACGGCGCCGCTTCCGTGTTCGCGCACAGTACCAACAGTGCGATCGCCATTAGGTGGCCGTCGACGCTTCGCCGTCGCGAGACGATCCCGCTCCACCTGGTCATAGTTCCAACTTGACGTCGCCTCGGGTGCTCGCTGTGCTCTGAACCGCGCGTGTTCCCGCGCTCCTCGTCCTTTTCGCTCTCGGGCGGTCTCGCGCGAGATTTTTCCGATGGCAGTCGCTCCGCACCCCGGGAAACACTGAATGCGCACACACGTGCTTCACCCACCCCAGCGGGAAGACACACTCTCTCTCTATCGCGCGCTGACAGCTCGAGGATCGTCGGGCCGACGTCAGAGCGGATGATCCATGCCGGGGATCGACCGAGTGACCGCGCGGCTCTGGAAGACCGATGATCCTCTCTCGTTTAGGCAACCTCGTCCTGTCGCTCGTCCTTCGCGGGACCAGTTCCAGCGCGAAGAGGGTAGCGATCTTTCTCTTTCTCTCTCGACGCACAGCCGTTCTCAGCGGTGCTTCTGGCGGAGCACCGGCTGGCAGGGTGGTCTGAAACGTCGTTGCCACGACACTATCGATCTCGTGGTGTTTTCCCCGCTGGTAGGCTCCTTCGCTCTGTTGCTTCGAGCGTGACTCCTCGGCGTGTGTGTGTGTATGTGTGTGTGTGGCACGCACCTCGGATTCGATTTTCACCGACGTAGACCTCCGTCGGCCGCGGAGAGTTCGATGAAACGATCGAGGAGGAGAAAAGGGGGCAAATTAAGAGGACGAATGAGAGCGAAGGAGGAAGGAGAGAGAGAGAGAGAGAGAGAGAAAGAGAGGTCGATAGTAAAGAGGATGGATCACTGTAGCGGTCCGAGGGAGAGGAGCACCGAGCGCGCGGGTATCACGGAGCTGGTATCGGAGTCCAACGCCACTCTGAATCATAATCAGGCTCTGCTCTGTCTTTTATTGAGGCCTCCCACCACGCTTCGCGATCGCCACGGTCGCCAATCGCGCGCGGCGCTCCTACACGTGTACGCACATGTCGCTAAGCTACGTGCGTGCGCGGCGAATTAGTCAGATCGGGTGCAAAGGATAGTCGCCGGATGATACGAATTTCGTGTCCCTGTCTCGACCCTCCCCCTCCGCCCTCACCGAGAGATCCCACCCGATCATCCCTCATTGATTTACCGTTCGACGCACCGACGCGTCGTCTCGCGGCCGCAACGTTTGCATTGCAAATGATCGCGTTCACGCGATCTTCCACTCTCTCGGCGGAGGTACACCGAGAGGTACACTGAGAGATACTCACAGGTGGTCTCCGATTCTCATCTCTGACGGATGACGGCGACAAATGAACTCACCGATCACGCGTGATAACGTCGCGTCCGGCTGACCGACGACGAAACACTCTGCCCTCGCGGGGTTCCCCTTTTCTCTGGAGTTCACGAAACGGAGCGGATACACACCACTCGAGATCCTGATTGCGTATTCAAAGGTTCCTCGCTATCGCGTCTAGACGAGGAGATAGAACTCGTATATCGGGGGTATTTCACGGGCGACTTGGTGAGTCATTCGGATTTTAGGTCGCTTTCCGTCCCGAAGAATTCCTTTCGCCCGGTGCCGACGACCGCAGCTACGATCCTGATTTGGGATCGGCGCATGAATCGCGAATGCAGATGAGCGGAATTTCTACGATCCTTCCCGAGTCGACGTTTTGATGCTCCCCTAACGCTCTTAAGGATAGTTCGCGCCTGCTTAGACGGTCTGCAGACTAATAAAAACCTACTCCGACGACACTTTCTAACTTCTCTCTTGAATCTCGGATTCTACACGGAAAGAAATTGGTCTCGCACAAATCAATGATAGATATTCTCATATATAAGCGAGTATAATATAATCTTCTTGGACCATTTTTAGTCTTGATTTGATTCAATTTGTATTGATGCAAGTATTACTTGCACTCAATTCAAGACTGAAAATCTTCTAACGATATTATAATATTATTGCTTATATATGAGAATATCTAGCATTCGTAAGACTATTTTTTTCTATGTACAGATTGAATTTTAGTGTTGCCTTCAACTACTTATTTCGACGCTAAAATAACGAAAACGGAAATTTTAGACTTCATCAGGGTCAAAAAGGGATTATGTTATATTATTAGAACTGAAATTGAGCCTATTTTGTTGTTTTGGTTCCTACAATGTTGTAGAATTGAAGGTTTAACGTAGAGCCAAAATTTCGACTCGGGCTTCAGTCGTCCAACTGAATTCGATTTGATTTGCTCGCTTGATTATGCGTTCATGTTTCCAAGATAATTATCAAAGTGCAAGTAATTACTATGCGCGAGTCTCTCGTGTCGTTCATTAATTGAACAGCAGTTTATCGGCGCGTGCAATGATAGGTTGGTAGGCGGATAGATACGTGAAATTTTCCCTCTCAGTCAAACGCACCGACAAAGGATATCTATGTATATCAGCCGAAACCGCGAGTCGTGAGCGAAATTTGAATACAAATGGCCACCCCGAGTACATCGAACGAATGAGTAAGCATTGGTCTCTTTGGTGTTCGCGACTGCCGCTCTGCGTTTCGTCAATGAGTAAATAATAAAGTAGCCTTACTCATCATTCTCCACCGGAACGGTTCATATTTACATTGTGATTTTTCGATCCGTTCGTTGTACGAGGGTGAGTCAGATGAAAACCTTAAATATCTTATTTTTTTTTGCATAATTTATCGAACAAAACCGGCACGCAACTGTATCATTTTTCTACGGAGTCTCCCTACTATTGCAGAGTCTACTATTCAAGACGAGTTCTCCAGCGCTTACAAAGTTCATGCATTCATCTGGAGAAAATGTTTGTGGTCCCGTGCGCAACCACCTGTGCATCATCCGTTGTACCTCTTCGTCAGACCTGAAGGTTTTTCTCTCATTGCCCTTTTTGAGAGGCCCAAAGATGTGGCAATCATCGGGGGTGAGATCTGGCTGGTACGGCGGATGTGGAAGCTAACGAAGTGCAGGTTTCGAATGGTTGCAACCTTTCCAATATGGGGCCGAGCATTGTTGTGTTGCAACAAGAGACGTAATCAGAAGTCCACGTTGTTCGGATTTGATTGCAGGTCGAAAATGATTTCTCAGAAGATCCGTAGTGACACATCGGCGACAGTGTTTCTCCTGGACATTTAGCGGATTTGAAATTAAATGCTGCATTAACGGCGGCGCACGCGACCACAAGACATTTTTTCTAGAAGAATCCATGCATCTTGTAAGTGCCGGAGGATTTGTTTTGATCACAATGAAGACTACGTGGGAAAATGACATAATTGTCCGCCGCTTTTGTGTGTTTTAATGAATTATGAAAAAAATATATTTAAGCTTTTCATTCGATTCACCTTCGTACATCTGGCCGCTCGTCTCGCTCATCCACCTGTGGTCGCCGAGAGATCCCACACGAGGTTCCGGCGGGTTCTTCTTCTTACGCGAGCGAAAGATTTTTCGTTCTTCTCATTCTTCACGTACGTGATTGTCATGAAAACACTTTCCAAAACGCGCGTCTGTTGTGATTTCAAGAACAAAAACAAAGAAATATAGTTGCTGGCCAGAATGGGATCCCCGTTCCGCGAAGAATCCTATTTTTGTTTCAGCGAAAGGTAAGAGAAGACGTGATACCTTTTCTTAGATCCTTACCCCCCTCCCCCTCCCCCTAACTTATATGACCCGGAGATTCTATCATTGGTTAGGAATGCATTTGCATTAATTCGTCCATTCGGTCTTGAGGCCGTTTAAATGCAGACGAATGCAGCTCGTAATCCTATTTGGGACGTTCCGCGAACTCTCTGGCTTTAATAAAAATTTACTCGTGTACAGGCTCCGTTCTGACTCACTGCACGGAAAAAAACCGCTGTTGAATCGATAGAATTTCCAATAACACGCGTAATTGGAGTTAATTGGAGTAGATCCTCTTGATTAGCAACGTCATAGGAACTAATACTTTAATTATTGAAGCAATGCACAGCATAGTAATTTCGATGAAATTCGCCATTGAGTCAAGATTTACTCCAATTACGCGTGCTGTTGGACATTCTATTGATTCAACGGCACTTTTTTTTTCCGTGCAGTGAGTCAGGACGGAGCCTATACACGGGTAAATTTTTATCAACGTCGGCGAATGGACCAATTACACTGCTGTTGGAAATTTTATTGATTCAACGGCATTTTTTTCCTCCGCGTTACGGAAAAGTACGTCAGGGAGAAATTTGTCGGCCGCCTTTTCAATTGGATCGATCCTTACGAAGAACAACAAGTTGTCGGTGTTTTCTTCTTCTTGATTAATCATGAGCGAGATAATGAAATCACGGTGCCGTAACGCGCAAGGAGATCAAGTTTTATTTTCATCTTTGCATCGAGGAAAGGAATTCTATTCTGGAAACAGTTGGCTTCTTCGAAAACATATTATGCGATCGCACGAGTGTATATTTTTTAGCTATTATCTATTCGCAATTATTATACGTGATAAGAGCTCGCAAATGATGGTTATTTCGTCGATTTCCGTGAAACGATGCCCGCCGGATCAACAGTCACAATGTAAATCTGAGTAGCTTATTTTGCGGACTTTAACATGACGTATCGCACGGTATCATCGATTTTCTTCATACTTTGCGTCTTTTGCAGTCGAGCGGAGAATTTCTCATCGCGCGCGCGACAGTTTCAACCTCGAAACAGTCATCCGTTTGTCACCGAGTTGAAGAGCCACGTCTTTTTGTACTTTTTTCTCGTTCACACAACGCGCGAGGCTGCTCCGTGAAAAGGTCAAAAGCACTTTGTCCCCGAGGTCAGGTCCCCGGCAGGTGTGCCTGCTCTCCGATAGAGAAAGAACGAGAAGAGAGGTCGACGAAGACATCAGCTCGAGACGATCGCATCCCGTGCCGCGCCCAAAAATCATATTCCGCCGATCCTTGTTTATTTCCCTTCCTTTTGTCAACGTATATGCTGAGTATAATCCTAATAGCTTATCGATCCAGCCGACTCACCTCCGATACCTGCGAAGTCGTTCTTCTCGGCTTCGGTTCACCTGGTCAAGGTAGTCGCGTCGCAATCGCCCATTTCCAACAGCGAAGTGGTAGCTTGTCGAGCGCAGGGATGTTGTGATATTGTATTGACATAATAATGGTATATCGATACGTTTTTTTTTCAATACCGCACGGGAAAAAATTTAGTTGCATTAACCGAAAAGAAAATAATTAGATACATTCTGGTTGAAGGAAACCGAATTTCTGATTCTTATGATCCAAATGTGATTCTTATAACCGGAAATTTCAATTCCTTCGAATAAAATATCTGGTTGTTCCCTCTTTCCGGTTAATACAATTAAACTTTTTTTCCGTGCGGGTATTTTTATATCGATGTTTTCTTTCGCTATTCGTATCCATATCGATCCTACTTAGTTTCGATCTTCTTTTTGTAACTGATTACTCAGTCGATCGCGTGGTTTTGCCTTATGAAAATTAGTCTAACATACTACTAGTCATACAACTTATGTTTCAAGCCTATTTTTCTATTTTTATCATTTGTGTTACGTTAATTTTACGGTTGTTTATCGATTATTGACGTAAGAGGAAAGCGTCCGGACCTTTTAACAAACGCGGAGTCGACCACTTTTGATTAGATACCCGTTGTATAATATTAGTATCGATATTTTCATGACGTCACAATACCCCTAATTGAGCGTAATTACAAATTTTCCAACATTCATAGATATTACCCGCTGGGAAACATCATTAGCTGCGCTTCGAGCGTTCATTATCATCAACTGCGTCAAACTTTTTGTGACGATTATGCAAATGGCGCTATTTTCATTACGCGAGCTTTTTGCTAACATTATCAACAGTCGTCATCGACGAGTCTTCGGTGACTCTTGACGTCTT